TTCATCCTCCACAAGGTCAGGAACCGATTCTTCTTGGAGAGGATCAGGTTCATCTTGTGCAACACCAGCAGGAAGACCTTGTTCATGTTGAGCTTCATGGCTCGCTTGTTGTTGATCTCGTTCAACATGTTGTTGAGGTGGTTGACCATCTCCAGGTTGTTGTTCTTGGGGATCACCAGAGAGCTCAGGGTCATCAAGGCCAGGCAAAGGGTGATCTTCCTCTTCATCTTGGTCAGGACACAACAAGAGTGGTTTCCCCTTTTTGTTGACGGGGTATGTGTAAACTCCAACCAAGAAGTACTTGTTGTTGCCAGGAGTTTGGTCCTTGCCACCAGTCATCCGACCAGACATGTCCAAGCTCAAAGTGAAGCTTTCCGGATGACAAACTCGGCGATGTGCTCGACTGCGACCTTGAGAACGTACACAGTGGCTGCAATCTCGACGAGCCGGCATGTGGTCCTGCATGTAGTGTTGCTTCCATTGTTGAAGGGCAACATTTCCAATTGCAGCGACACCAGCAGGTCGGACATCATCATCGGCGTAAACAACGCCACCAGGATCTTCAGGTCCTTCACGTGGAGGCGCTTCACGGCGAATCCATCTGCTGATTGCTTCAGCAACTGCAGCCTTCAAACCAGGTGCCCAAGCCGCCCAAGTTTTTGACATAGCACATCTTTCTTTCACGCTGAGTTCTGGTAGCGGAGCAACTTCAGGTTCAGCTCCACGACCTCGCACATCTTGTAGCTGCATCATCTCATTCATGTTGATCAAGGCCAAGGTGGTTGGCTTTCTTTTTGGGTGTCCAAAAGGCCCTTGATCAAAGGAGATCAGCTTGGCGTTGTAGGCTTCTTGGAAGCTTTTCCATTCCTGAGTTCTCCACATTGAAAAGTACTGGTGCTCATCCACATCCTCCTTCTTGCGGTATTCCGCTGGGTCTTGAGGTTGTTCACAAAGAAATGCAGTTTGAGCTTGTTCTTTTGGACGCACTTCTTCGCAGAGGATGTACATCAGCATCAAACGGAGCCACAGAATTGAGTCATTGGTGACCAATTCAGCTTGTTGTGGAGTCAATGATGGCAAACCATATGGGTGATCTTCTGTTCGAAGAATTGGTGGACCATCATCTTTTTGAAACCTGAGAGCACTTGTTGTTCTGCATGGAGGGCCTCCAAGTAGAGCTTTGACACGTTTGCTGGCGCACAAGGAAAGCAAAAACGCAAAGGTTGTTTCATCCAAAGCATTTGAAGGTGTTGAGGCTTCCAAGTCCACGCACAGCACCTCAGTGTGCTCATTTGACAAACGCCGCTCCCAGTAAGAAGCATCAGGTCCACTGTACATGTGGATGATCACATTCTTTGCCATCATGAGTCTTTTTCGCTTTCTGCGATTCCATGGAAGGTTCAAGCCGATGTTTGGGTCCGTGAGCACTGAGAGATCTGGGACCAGCTTCAACGCCAAATCTTCAGGCAAAGTCGGCATGACCTCCTTGAGCTTGACAAGCATCGCCATTTCAATGCTCATTTTGTCGCCAAGACCGGCAGCCCCTCTTGTCAAGATTGACTTCAAGGTCATCTTTTTCAGCTCTTGTTGAATTTGATGCTGTTCCAAAACCGTCAGCAGTTTCGCTCCAAATTCATGAGCAACGTAGGGACATCCATTGTGAAGTTCCACATTGACCTTGTCTCCAGCTTTTGTGTAGAGATGGCACATGTGGTCTTTCCACACCAACTTGTAGTTGAGCTCGTTCAAGCATCCCATTGGAACGATCCAAGAGGTATTTTCAGGCCGAAGGAGAGGATCGGAAAGCAAAACTTTGGTGCCAGGCTTCAAACGGAGGCTTTCTGTGACACCATCAGCCAACATCACCTGAGTTCTTGTGCCAGACTGCCATTCTTCTTCTGAAGCTGCAGGACGTAGGCCATGTGTTGCACCAGAGTCCAGCAACACCATTTGAGCATGAGACTCCAACTTTGACAGTCGCATCACCTTCAGGTTGGGCATACGCAGAGACTTCAGCAACTGAGTGGCTTCTGCCAACAGTTCAGTGGTCGCAGGAGTGGCAGCTGGAGCTCCCCCCTTATCCACCTCCGAGGTTGCACTAGATGAAGTCCCAAGGGAGTTACTCTCAGCACCCAGTCCTGGACCATCAGCGCACGTACTAGAAGAGGTTTGATCAGTTGTTGAGCTTGCAACTCCACCATCATGACCTTTTCCAACTGAAGCTTGCTTGACAGCCGCTTTGTTGTTGGCTGCATTTTGATTTCCACCACCACGTCCTCCCCCCAAACCAGAGTCATTGGACGAAGGTTTGTAGTTGTTGCCATTGCCCTTGACTTTGCATTCAGTTTTTCTGTGATCTTTGCCGCCACAGATCCAGCATCGACTGTTCTTGTCCTCGATGCCCTCCCAAGAGTGAGACCATTTGCAGCTTCGTCCGGCTTTGCATCCAGTGTCGCTCTTGAAGAACTTGCATGGTTGCTCCGACATAGGAGTTGAGTGTCCCTTGCCGGACTTGTTGCCATAGTTGCCAGGAGTGCCTGGTTTTTGAGGTGAGTTTGATGCTTCAGCATCCATTTGTTTGAGCCTCACCGGTGTGCTCGCACTTGCTGTTGTTGTAGAGGAGGATTTCAGCAGACTCAGCGTCTCCGCCTCTGCAAGAAGACATTGGCTAAAACTCCATATTGATTGCTCCGTTGGACGTTGATCCAGTGCAAGTTGTTGTCGGCTTGTGGAAAGCCTGAACGCTGCTTGGGAGTCTTCCTTGGCGATCTGGACAACCGCAGCTTCAAGTGCCTTTATCAGCAGCACTCCATCAGGCAAACTTGCATCCACCTCCCTTGCCCTTGCAAAGTATCTCCGCCATGTTCTCAAAGAAGAAGCCAATTCCTGCATCGAAGATGCCTTTTGCAGTGAGGTCAATTGCCCCAAGAGGATTGCCTTTTCACCTGGTCCTCCTGGTTGATGCCGCACATAGAGGCGGAACAAAATTGCCGTACTGGTCAAATCTCGATCCACCACCAACTCCTTCTGCTGCTCTTCGCTCACCGCCTTGAGCAACAAAGTGACGCCCCTCTGCTCCGTTCTGATGAAGCCGCCTGCCATCAATTCATCAGGAAGACGAGGACAAAGTTGAACTCGCTGAAGAGGAGATAGTCCCTTCCATTCCATGTAGAAGGCATACGCTTGGCGTACTGTTGCATCCCACCATCTTCCAGCGACATGTGACAGGTCTTTCATGATTGGCCCACAAAGACAAAGCCAATCTCCAAACTCCAGAGGCGATGCACCATTCGGCAACACAGGTAGTTCAGCTTTTCCGCCGCCACCTCCTCCAGAAGCTTCCCAAGACGTTGGCATTGGTGCAACACCCATAGATCCATGCCCTTGAACTCCACCATGTTGAACTCCACCATGAGGACCACCTTCATGAAGTAGATCTCGACGACCATGAAGCACTGCATCATCACCATGTAGAGCTCGACCAGGATGTAGTTCGCCATGCAAAGCCCGATCGTGAGGAGGTAGATCACCATGCCAAGCCCGATCACGTAGAGGAAGTTCAGCATGCAAAGCCCGATCGCGTTGAGGAAGATCAGCATGCAATGCCCGATCACGTTGATGTAGATCACCATGCAATTGCGGAGCCCGACCGAGTCCAGGTAGATCTCCAAACAGTTGCTGTGCCCGATCGTGAGCTGATACTTCACCACGTCCACCATGCCAAGCCCGATCTTGTTGAGATACATCTCCACTTCCACCAGATAGGGCTCGATCACCACAAAGCGGACGATTGGCAGCTGCTGCATGTGACACATCAGGAACATGACATTCCATTTTTTCCGCAAAACTACCATTCCAGTATCCAGACTGTCGAATTGCATCAGGAACCGAAACACGATTCAAAGCAGTTTTGAGGGACTGAACCTCCCTTTCCAGCCATGTTTGTTTTGCTTCGCTAGCTGTCATCACATCCCCAGTGTTTTGACCACTCTGGAGTTTCCATAACTTGTCACCATTTCTCACATGCGGTTTTGACTCACATGTATCATACAAATTGCTGACAAAACTGGTCCCCTCCACAAGCGGCTCACCTGCTGCAGTTGGAAACGGAGGGATTGGTGGCACCATCGGCTCATCCACTGGCGGTGGACCTTTTGGCACTCTGGTCCCATTTGGTGTGAACCGATTTGAATCTCCTTTTTCACAAGCCTCAGGACTAACTGCACGTTCACGTGTTCTATGCCTAGGAGTTCTACTTCCACCCCTACCATGACGCTCAGCATGAAAGGTTCCATTGCCACTTGAACCCTCTACTGAAGTTCCATTCACAGCAGACCATGGTGACGAAGCATCCCCAGAACCGGCTTTCACTTGCACATGCTGCAGTTGCCCTTTGAGACATTCCAACTCTTGCATGAGTTTAGAATTTTGACTTCTCAAAAACTCCACAAGCTCGCCTTCTAGGGCTCGCTGTAAGCCATCACTGCTTTCGTCCATACCACTACTTCCAGCAGATTTGACTTGGCCTTGTGACAACACAGGATCATCACACCCCTGCATCCGTCCTTCAGTCCTCAGGGCATTCTGCTTCTCATTCACTGTGGGGCCAGCTGCATCCGGCACTTCATTCGCCGAAAAGCCACCTCGCCCTTTCCCAGTTGGCAGTGCACTTGCATCAGACTGATCCCTTTTTCCAGAAACCGCTACACCTTGAGGTCCCATTCCACCATCCAACACTGGTAAGCTCCTAGGCCTTGAGGCCTCCAGCAAACATTCAGCTTGAACTTTTTCGGAATGAAATGGGTTAACCACCTCCATGTTTCTATCCCCAACAGGCATTGATTGGGACCTTCCAGCTTCCATGGCTAAAATGCCCAGTAGTAGCTCGTTGGGCTCATAACCCTTGAGAACGTCGCGCCTGTTTTCCAACCAAAAATGCCTGCGGTAATACAGGTGAACATCTGTGCTATGATTTGTGCGTGTCATCCTTCGCACCTGACATGACAGACTTGGAATTGCCATTGGGCCGAACAGATCCTTCTCTGGCAAATTCATTTCTGTGTTGCGTTTGCTATAGCTGCCGGGTTTATCAGGCACAGGAATCCCGAAAGAGTTTGGCGAGTGCACGACCCAGCTGGTCGGCAGAAACTGGTGCAGAGCTGCTATATTATATTATGCTTTCATGACAGATTGAACCGTCTTCGGCTGCTCTCCTTCCGCTTCATTTCTAGCAACAAGATCGACCAAAAGACTACTCAGGTGGTGTGCTTTGTACATCAATCTGGATCGTCGGCAGGATCGGAAAGGCGGCTGCTTTGGAAGAGTGTGATTGACCTTATCTTGATCTGATCAAATCACTGTGCATTGACATTTTGACACAGGTTGTATTCTCTCTCTCTCTTTCTCTGACCCAAAAGTCTGCACAAAAGTATACATTTTCTTTCAAATCAGGAAGGCATGTTTTCTTTTGTGTAGAGATCTTTTTCCAGCTGTCGGAATCCAATATATCCAGAGGCTGCATAGCTTGTTGAACTAGCCTTTGTAAGGGAAGCAACTTGCAGTGAATGATGATTTTCCTTGTTACCTTACCTTCTCAAGCTTTCATGCTAAGTACACCATGGACTGTGAAGCAAGGCTTGTGCTGTTCCGCTGCCTTCGAATTTTTTGGAGTAGCTTCCAAGTTTAAAGTCAGTTTCCAGAGTCGTTTAGCAGGACTTTCAGTGACTTTCAGTGACTTTCAGTTTTCACCTTCAGAACGCCTGAGCAGCGTTCAAAACCCTTATGTAGAGGATTGTAGAGGGCTTTACTTGGGCTTAGACTGGGTAGCACCTGCGAAAGCAAGAAACCAGCTCGCGAAAGCTGGGCGAAAGCTTGGCGAAGACCACAGACACCGTCGCGAAAGCTTCGCGAAAGTGGATGATTGAGCGATTTAAAGTAGTGATATATCATATCATATGTATATACATGTATCACCGGTTGTTTTGATCTTAATTATAAACTTCCCAAATACGGCGAAAGCTCCGCGAAAGCAGTTCTGTCAAATGTTCATCGCGCGAAAGCCGGGAGTGTGGTCGCGAAAGCACCGCGAAAGGATTTGTGAAAGCACCATGTGAGCATAATGAAATACATTATATAACCCTTTTGAACACTGCTCACCTGACTTCAGAAAAATTGCTGAAGCTCTTGGCGAAGCAGAATGGCCCGCTCTTGGCACGTCTGGAGCGAGTTCAGGTGGGCCCAGAGGTTGCTGGATGATTTTGGCGTGTCCAAGAATTGCAGACCCCCAATATCCACCGTTTCATCAGAAGAAAACACCCACATTTCAATAGATTAAGGATGATTAAGGTGGATATCACAGTATGCCACAGTATGGCAGTAGCATCCCGCTTGATCACCTGGAAGGCAATTGACAAGCAGAACTTGTCGTTGGACGATGAGGCTGGGCTCTAGGTGGACGAAACGAACCCGCAATCAGTATTAAGATTATTAAGTCGCTCGAAGGTACTTGAAGTGGACATCAATACATCTTTGCCAGGGATGCCTTGCCAGTCGGTCAAATCTTGTCAGCTTGGCTGCTTGACAAATTCTGTCAAATTCACATAATTCACACATTGCGTGCAGATAGTTGTCAATGCCGTGGCTCCTCACGCCTTGGAACGTACAAGGCCAGGCGCTTTGCATGTTGCATCATGCTGCCACTTGTAGTCAGGAGATCACAAGATCCCAGAAAACCAAACGTGTGTGCTTGAAAATGAACAACTGATCACTTGCAAGTCAAGTGAATCTCAAATGAATTTGAAGCCGGGCTTGGAAGTTGAGGGGGAATGACGGGAAATGCATGATGCACTTGAGCATCAAGAGATTCTCTCTTCAGAAATGGATGACATTTTTTTCTGGACTTGGACTTTGGACATATCAGCGGTGCCAAGCAAAGTTCTGGTGTTCAGGAGGCCTGTTCCCCACGATGGTTGCTATGGATTGCTATGGATTGCTATGGTCAGTCTTTACATGCCGATGGAATAAAGCATTGGGCTGTCGGCGTAGCACAGCAAAGCAGCAAAGCCTTGGTAACTGGGGTATCTGGGGTTGTCGGGAATTGATTGGCTTCTCGCACAGGCGTGCAATGGAGGAGGATCACTACACCATCGTTCACGATGAGGTTGGATGTATCTGTTGCATCATGATGCGTCGTCAATCATCAATCGATATCAATCGATGTCAGCCGATATCAATCCATATCAATCCAGCACCTACAACATCCTACAACAGTCAAAGCACCCCCTTGTCACTGAAGGAAGGGAATCTGGTCCATTTCGATGACCACTTGACCTTGGGTGGCATTGCATGTGCCCTGTCGCACCGCTTGGCTTTGCAGCGCCACTCGAACGCACGCGGCTGGCAGATGGGTGGCTACAGTACTTCAGAAGGTATGAACTTTGGGCAAACATTGCGAATTCCCGCCTGATCAGCGGAGGAGTACATCGATGTAAAGTCTACAGAGTATTCCCATGTATTCCCCGTACTGCTGCATAAAGAGTCTCAAAACCCTACGTAGATCTAGACCAGACAAGGCAATAATGCAAGATGACAGATAGTGACAGATAGTGACATATAGTGTAAGCTTGGGATTTCTCGTATTGAATGGCCGATCATGTTTGATATGTTTGATCGAATTCCATTTGTTGTCACTAGGGCCTTGAATGCTCAGACTTACTTATATATATATAATATCTTACAATATCTTATATAAATTTATATAGTTGGTCACAAGCATCAGCAAGGCTTGGCCAACACATGCCATTCTGAGCTCGAGTTTCGCCCCTTTTCTCCAGAAACAAAGTCATTGTGGCTACCTGGCCAGCTTGAAATGCTTGGAAGCCTATGCAGTGTACTAGTACGCTTCTTCCAAGCATGTTGAGCAACTAGAGCATCCCCGGAAGAGAAATAGTAGGTCCTTGGCTACTATGGTAAAAGTTTTTCTTGATACTCCGCAGTGTGACAGGCATCGCAGAGCACCCCACAGCCGACTGGGGGTTGGTCCTGGAGGAGAGGGAGCATAGCGAGACTGGCGGAATTTCCAAATTCCATTTTTCAGCATTTTTCAGCATTTTTCAGCATTTTTCAGCATCTAGATCATCTAGGATGCAACTCATGCGGTGAAGTTCCCCCGGTCAAATGTCATAAGCTGAATCACCTTGAATCACGCTTTCATTGTGACGTCAAGTTTTCATAAGTTTTCCAGGTTCCATGATGTTCCATGTGCATGTGTGATTACAAAAAGCTCACTACAAAAATGCAGGACGATGTAAATGCTCTGGTGCCGCGGGTGGATTTGGCTATAGCGAACTTGCTGCCGCACAGCTGAATAGTCAGCTTTCAGCACACTAGGGGTCATGTTTGTGCAGTTTGGTGTTATTGACAAACACCCCACCACAGTTTAGGCACCAGGGTATTCTGATGTATTTTGCTCGGTGTAGTTTGGTGTATCTTGTTTGAGGTTTCCTCATTCAACACATTCAATAATCAGCAACGCTGTGACAACCTCATACGCCGGTTGGGCAACTCCTACACGGGAGTAGCCAGGTGACCGGTGATTGAACAAATCTAAAAGTGGCTGTTTCAGGGGCAGAATTTACGTTTGCATCGGATTGATCACAGTATATCACAGTGGAAAGTTCACTTTCCTACTTCTGTTGCAAGGGAGCACTGCTCATGTCAGTCTTTCGAGTATCAACAAATAAAGCCTTGACCAGAAGTTCTGCAGATGATGGCGTTTTAACGCTTTTTCAAAAAGGTGCAAACCAAGTCAGTTTTTCACGCAAGTGAAGAGCAACGATTCCTCACTACACACTTGGTTGCATGTTGCGAGCAAGTAGTGCAGCTGGCAAAGAAGGGCTTGCGGGATTGGAACACATTGGAACATATCGGAACATGTTGTCAGTGTTACTCGGCGCCCCAACTTTCAGAGGTCAGAACTACCAGATGATTGGGATGCCGTTTGCTTGGGATACCACGATCCCCAAGGGAGGCCATCCGTCCCGCAGAGCACACAGAGTTGAAACGAGACTCTAATGATGAACTGCTCATTAGATTGCAGTCTCTCCAGCTTGCATGAAGAATATGAAGATTGTCTTTTGCTTTACGTTCCATCATGTTTCTCAATTTGCAATCTGTTCCTTTCTTGTTGACCCGAGCCTCTCAGCTGAAAGTCTGCACTTTTGCTATTCTCTTACAGCATTTTTTGCATTCTCTGGCCGTCATTGAATGTTGATACAGTGATACATGTTGATAGACACTGATCATATCTGATACTGGTCTCAGCGCTTGTGTTTGGGTGTTTTGCCTGTTTCTCCAATTTCGCCATTGCTATTCCATTGCAGCGCTGAGCTCCAGGGTTCATCCAGCAGCGCTGAGCAACGAGCCTTTGGAGACTTCGTTCAGTGGGAACGAGGTGGAGGTTCTCTCGTGTCTCGGTTCAGAACTCCAATACGCTGAATTCTGTAAATGAATGTACACACTTATATATATAATATATATATATATAATTGTCACATATTGACACATTATATTGCTAGTTCATTATATATCATGATATAGTTATATGATATATTATCTATAATAGATTATACATTATACTGTACATACTGTGTGTAACTATTATATAGATATACACATACTGTGTGAGTGAATATCCCCTTGAATCTGAATATGTTGTTATGTAACATCGACTGGAAGCCACTTTGATCATCCCAATGGCACCAACAAAGTTCATTGAGTTTTTGGCTCAGGTCCCCTGGCCACGTTTTTGGCTTGGGCGCTTGGATGGTGCCACCGAGAGAGAGAGAGAGAGAGAGAGAGAGACGTGTCAAGTGTGAAGTGAGAGGCTGAGTGAAGTGTGAAGTGTGGGTGCTGAAATCCGCATCGCAGAGATCCAAAGCTGCAGTTGCTTGAGACCGCGCATGGCAGGTACGGAAGGAAGCTGCTCAACAACTTGTTGAGAACGCTTTCCCTATTGAGAGCCAGGCCCAACATTGGTTCACTGCAAGAATTGGACTATGACGATTATGACGGGATGCACCCACCTGATTGGATGCAAAGAAATCCCAATGAAACCATAAAGGGTGTTGCCATTGCAAAGCTTTGTTGGAAGGCTTCGTGAACAAAGAAACAGAAGAAACAAAAGAAACAAAAGAAACAATAGCAAAGACAAAAAGCTCCTCTGTGCTTCTCCTGCATCCCAACCAGCATTGTCGTTCAAACTCCGCTTCTCCTTGTGTGCTTTTCACGGCACCACGTCGTAGGTGAATTATAGCTGTCATCTTGTCATCTTTTTTGTCGCTCCTTTCGCTACTTTCATGCATACCCTTGGATACCTTGGCCGCACTTGGCATGTTCCGAGTCTGATTCGCCAGGTTGACTACACCCTCACAAATTGGTTGGCCCGTTTTCGAAGGCTGATGCGTGGGTCAAGATGCTGGACATTTTGATTGAGCAGATTTGAAAAGCCTTCAACAACACGCAGTCAATTTCACTTGACTTCCCCAAAGGGTTGACCGCCCAGAAAATTCGTGCTGCAGAAAGGTATGATATGCAGAGGGCAGTCAGTTGGTTGGTCATTTGGTTGGTGCCGGCCTCTTGATCTAGGTTCATTACTGCTCATTGTTTTGCCTGTCTGGTCTTCTTAAGATATGCTTCGGTATGTATATATATAATTATATATATATATACAGTATATGATATATATACAGAAGAATTCCAGCCACAAGGGTCGGTTTTCACCTCCTCGAATGTTACTAATTTTGGCTCAAGGAAAAGAGGCCCCAGAAGCTGACTTGTGTGGTTTTTGGGTGTTTTCTCAAGTTATCCTACTTTTCGCCTTTTTATTGGGTTATCAGCCGCACTGGCTCCCCCTTCATATTCAATTAATTGCATTTTACCCTCGCCCGTGCGCGTGCAATAGTCTTTCTTGAGATCCTTTGGCAGTTCTTGACATTGTATTTACAACAGTTGAGTGGTCGAAGTTGAGCTTGGATAGATTTTTATGCCATCAGGGCGACGGCCACGACCGAGAGGTGGAAAGTCGGCACGGCGCAAAAGGATCCGCGAGTCTTTTTGGAACGCGGTGGATCCGGCTGCAGAGGTTGACAGCTCTGCACTTGGAGGCCTTGCTGATCCGGAGCAGGAGGAGATTGTGGAGGTGGTCAACGAACCTGTTGCGAAGCAACAGGCCAAGGCTAAGGCTTTGCGGTTGAAATCTAATCCCCGTCCTTCTCTTTCATCATCAGCAGTCGTGGGTGCAATTGAAAACCCGAGTAATTCTTCGGGATCGCAAGTTGTCGCTTCAGAGGAATCTTCATCATCGAATCCGATTGTGAATACATCTTCAGGCCTGAGTTTTTCTTCAGGTGCGGGACGACAATTTCAGGGTGTGGAACTTGCAATCGATCCAGAAGTGGAAGTGGAGCTCGGCGAGGGTTGTGTGTTGGTGAGTGATTTACTCCAACCACCAGCCAATCTTCGAGAGTTGTTTGAGGATCTTCAGCACTGTGCAATCTTTGACTTGTTTAAGACGGTGATTTTTCCCGAATCTTTAACAGAAGGTCGATCGAAAAGGGTGCGCACCATTGAGGAACTTCCAGACATCAAGTCGAATCCACGCCATTTTCGGGTTGGACAGCATCGTGGAGAGACTCAGGTCATTTTTGCCTCGACGGCCGAATTGTTAGCGGATCTTGCACATTCGGGTGTGGTTTACATTGGCTTGACATTCATTGGAAAGGGATCTTTCAGGGAGTACGTTGACGCATGTTGACGCCTTGAAACGTTCGCACATCCATCGTCTTCTCCGATCATTGTTGTTGTGACCCAACGCCAAGCGAAAGCGATCTTGGCGAAAAGGATTGGGGCAGCCATCGCATTTGACGATCAGTTTGATCACATCTCGAGGTACAGAAGGGAGGGCATTCGTGCCTATCAGGTGAACTCGAATTGGGGTCTTGAAACTGAAGCGGCAGAGATTCGCCGATTAGTGCGTTGGTATTGCCTTGGCAAGGAGGATTGAGAAAAGTTCCACAGAGAAGGGTGCAGTGAGTGAAGAGATCAGTAAAGAGTATAATTGACCAATGTCTACAAATCAAGAATCTAGTGGTTCAAGTGAATTGCATTTGGCAGTTGCGGCGATAGGCCAAGTGATGAGCTCACCTGGGGATGAATCCCAATCCAGCATAAACCAAAGGGTTGTCCATAGATCCAGGGATGATCACAGAAATGCAAACCGTAGGTCACGATCTTTAGGTCCATATCAATCTTCGGAAGTTGCAAGTGATTTATCTGGTTTGGAAGCTGGTAGATTTGAGTTGGAGGATGATGACATGTCTTTGGCACGAAGGGGAAGAGCCCAAGGTTCATCAGTCCCAAGCCAGGGTCAAGGGGTCTAGCAGGGTCCAACCTTTGTTGATGCCCGGTCCATCCAGTCAATTCAAGTTGGAGTACCAACCCAATTAGCCCAACAGACTGCCTTTCAATTTGCTGATTCTGTCCGTAATGCCACAATCGCAGAAGCCGAATTGAGACATAACCAGATGATTGATGAAGTTAGGCGAGTTTCCACTCAAGTGGCAAGAGAAGAGGTAATAGCTGAAGCCGAATCCCGCCACCAACATGCTGCCCAAGACATGGCAAGAGCATCCATGGAACATGTCCAGAATGTTAGTGCCCGTGTTGCCAGTGATGTGAGAACTGAAACTTTAGCAGAAGCCGAGTCACGCCATCACCAAATCTTGAGGGAAACCGTCGAACAAGCCAATAGGATCCATGCCCAATCTTTGGATGATGTTCGTAGCCAAGCCCATTCCAGGGATCCCCCGGTCGTTCTTGAGCTGCAGAATCAGATTGCCCAGCTTACTCGTCTGAATCAGGATTTGATGGAGAGATTGCAGACGGCAGAGAGTCGCGGTTCACTCCGCGCCCTGCCAGCAGAGGGTGGACAGGTTGGATCAGATAATGGTTCAAATGTTGAAATGTTTGACTTGTTTGGTCATGAGCCTGTTCAACCACCATCTCAATCCAATGAATCCATCAATCAGGTTTTGGCAGTTCTCCAAGAGGAAGTTCAAAATCTTAGAGATGAAGTAAGTAAGAAAAAGAAGGGTAAGGGTAAGAAGCAATCTTCTAACTCTAGTTCATGTGATGGTTCGTCATCTTCAGAGTCAGATCCTGAGTATGCGAATGAACGTAAGCTCATGCGGTTGAAAGGGTATGATCGCATCAAGATACCTCAATTGCCCAAAAACGCTGCTGAGATGAGAGGTTGGAAGAACACTGTCATTTCTCAGTTGGTTGCGTGTTGTAGGAGTAATGAAGCCGAGCTCTTGAATTGGTTAAGTGGTCCACTGGAAGGTCGCGAAGAATCCACTGACCTTTTTCCTGTTCTGAATAGAGTACTTGGCACAAAGCTTCTTGAAGCATCCAAGGGTGGAAGATTTGGGGTTGATTTTCAGGCCATGCAAGAACGCAGTGTTCGCCAAGGGAAACAGGTTCAGGGACATATTCTCCTGAGTAGAATTTGCAAAAAGTTCCGCTTAGACAAAGAGAGGGGCATGAGTCTCAGCCAACAACACCTTTTGGCATTGAAGCCTCAGGGAGTAGAGATCAAGGATTTGGAAGTGTTTCGGGATAGGGTTGAATTTGTTCTGTCAAGTTTGGAGACCTCAGAATACCCCAACGAAGCCATTCTTAGATCATGGTTGTATGAGAGCCTCAAAGCTGTCCCAAAACTTGCACTGAAGATTGAGAGATTTCGCGAAGCACCAGCCGGTGGTGAGATCCGCACATTTCAGTGGTCATGGCAGTCAATGATTGATTGCATAGATGAGTCCCAGCATGATCATAACACTGCATCAATTCTGAACGCCTTGAAATCTAAAGTTGATGCTGCCGCCGCAGGGGTTGAGAAAGAAAAGACAAGAAAGAGAAGTCCGAGTCGTCCCGTCAGAAGGAAAGTGTTGATGTCGCAGCTGCCTCGTCTTCGAAGGCCCCGCCCAAGGCAAAGGCCACTCCGAAGCCCAAACCATTTTCATCAAGCCAAGCTGAGGGAAAAGGGGGGGGCAAGGATAAGAAAGACGTTGTTGCCGGTGACAAGGGTAGTCCATGCCTCTTTTACCCAAGTGGCACTTGTAGGAGGGATCCATGTCCGTTCGTTCATGATCCAGCCGCAAAGTCTAAGCCGAAGGCCAAGCCCAAAGCTAGTCCAAGTGTCGCTGCCGCATTTGCAGTCGCTGCAGGAAACCTGCCATCAGCAAAAGCTTTAGTCCCAAGGATTTTTAAAGCTGTTGTTTCCTCATTTGCGTTGTTGTGTCACGATGGTGCCGGAACAGAGGCTCCAATTTTGGGGCGAATTCTACCTGACAATCAGGTCCCAGTTTTGCGAATGCAATCCAGTGAGGTGCCATTCACAAGCTTCGATGCGAGCTCTGGGGAAGTGACATGGTTGGGTGATACAGGTGCAGGCCGAAACATTGGCGGTTTAGGCCAAGTTGATCCTAACATGATTGGACAATCCAATCATCCTGTCACCTTCTCAACCGGTGGGGGGCGTAGAGACGGATCAGATTCTTGCAAAGTTGTGGGAGAACTTTCTGGTTCAAATGAATGCTACTTGCTAAAGAACAGCCCTTGGGCATTATCAATAGGTGATCAAGTTCGGCAAGGAAAAGCTTTTGTTTGGTTACCACGTGATAGCGCAGATGTTTCAGAGGATGCTGAGCTTCCTAAACCATTCCTGGTAAAGCCCAGTAACATTCAGGATTTAAGAGTGTCATGCCCTGAATCATCTCGTTGTTATGCCAGTGAAGTTCGTGAAAATGTCCCGTTGTTCAAAGAAAAAGTTGATATTCTGCACATGCCTGGAGAGGTCAATGAGGAGTGTGTTCCCAAATGTCCCCCAAAATCTCCTGATGGGGAATCGGATGGGTATGAGCCAAGCCTAGCCCCCGAACCGGAAGGAGACGTTTCGGGCACCGTGTTGAACCATTCTATTTTGCACCTTCCAAAAAAGGCGGATTGCCCCATTTGCCAGGAAGCGAAACAAGATGCACTTCCAGCGAGACGGGTGAAAGGTCCAAGAGCCTTGACCGACGGTCATCCGAGTGAGCATTTTGGGGATAGGATCCATGCAGATCATATCATCGTTGCAAAAGGTAGGTTAGACAGTTCAAAGAAAGGGTTTAGAGGAGAAACCAAGTGCCTTATTCTGTATGATGATTTCACCAAAATCATGTTGGCCTATCCAGCAGCCTCCAAAAGCCAAGAAGAGTGCGTGAAAGCCCTCAAGCATTTTGGTGGAAAGCGTCCATTGGTTGAGTTCCATGCAGACAACACTCCGGAATATGAAGGTACCGCAAGTCAGTTAGGTCTTGTTTATGATGCGACTGTCCCGTACAGGAAAACTGCAATCATCAACAGAGCCATTAGAACTCTTGAGGATATCACCAGATGTTGTTTGATACAGGTAGGCAATTTCAATGAACTGTGGCCGTTGGCAATTCGGTATGCAGCCACGGCATCTACCATTAGCAAATGGAAGGAGCTCCACAGCCATGAGTTTGAGGGTCTCCACATACCTTTTGGAGCGCTTATCCGGTACAAGCCTAGTGTAGCAAAATCCAAACTTGGTGCGAAAACCTCAGCAGGGTTATTCCTTGGTTGGAGAATAGAGGCAGGCATTCATTGGAAACGCACTTATTTGGTTTGTGATGTTGACAATGTCAAGTCATGGTTGGAAGGGAAAGCTAGTCTTCAAGTTTTGACTTCAATGGTTGTTGTGCAAACTGGTGAAAACAAGTTTCCTTTAAGAGAAGCCGTCAAATCACAGCTAGAATCCTTGGAAGATTTACCCGTGCTTCGGTTGGAAGATGATGTTAGAGCATTGGAGGAGGAAATGACAGTTGATGACGTAGTGCAACATGAATCGGAAGGCTTGCTCGAACCAGAAGTTTTCCTAGATGACCCAGTTGCACCAGATCCTCCAAAGCATGAATCCATCACATTTTCCAGATTAATGCACCATGGTTTTAGTCCGGGATGCTCAGCCTGCGAAAACGGAGAGGGAGATCACACAGCCAGTTGTAGGGAAAGATTTGACAAGCTTATCAGGGGGGGTAAGTTCACACTTCCCAAGGGCATTGCAAAAGGTGTTGATTCGTGGAAGCTTGAAGGAGATCAGCTGATTCGATTTCATCACGTCAAACGCAAAAGGCTCTTTAATCCCTTGTTGCCAGATGATCTTCCCGTGAAAGCCAAAAGACTTGGGACTAGAATGACCGAAGTTAAGTACTTTGAGAGCGGTAGTGAGGAAACCATCACTGATGAGCATTGGAAAGGGAACAACAAGACATTGAAAGAGTTCTGGACTGGAAAGACCATCTTTCAACTTCTGCCTGAGGCCGATGAAGTTCCGAGTGGCGCTTTTGACGCAAAGGGTGGAGAGCAGCAGGCATTGCCGCGCCCCATCCAGGGTGGAAAGAAGGGAAAGAAATTAGCCCAGAAATTGTTGCCAGCGTATGGTACTATGATTGAGTTTTGTTGTAGCCCTCAATCCAATCTTGGAAAGGTGTCGGAATCTATTGGTGTAAAACACATTCGCCTTACCAAAGCCAATGGTAATGTTGCAGAGCTTGAAGTGCAATCACAACTTCTCGAAGTTTTAGACTCAGATGCAATGAATGGTGTTGATCTTTGGGGATCAATTCCTTGCAATCCTTGGTCGAGTTGGCAACGCCTTAACTGGAAAAGGTTGGGTCCAGAATTTCGTAGGAGATTGATGGCACAGAGATTAGAGAGCAAGAAACTCCTTCGGTTCTTTTTCCAGCTTGCCGAAATCATCCTGAAACGTGGAGGTAGGGTTCATTTCGAGTGGCCCTCAGGATGCTCTGGTTGGCAGTTGCAGGAACTTCAGGACTTCTTTAACTCAAACCATTTTCAGCTTGCACATTTCAATGGATGTATGGTAGGAGGAGATTCTTTCAAACCTTGGACTGTTGCATCAACAGATGACAGTTTGATCCGATGCTTGAGAACCAAGACATGCAGCCATGACCACAAGCATGTGCCATTGTGTGGTTCCAAAGCACCGAAGTCAGCATTCTATCCAACACAAATGTGCGAAAGCATCTTGTCGTCGTTGTTCCCCGATTTGTTCCACAAATTTGTTCCTAGCATGAGCTGTGTGCCTACCACTGAAGAGCCAGTGCACGTTCCAAAAGAAGTTGAGCCTGAACAAATTCCTCTTGGCATCCATGAACTTATCGACAAGAAGGTCTGGAAGAACGATCCAGCTGCAATAAATGAAGCCAAGAAGGAAGCTCAAGGGTTGATTGAAGCTGGAACATGGGATTACAAGCATGTGATCCAAAGGCACGATTTAGAGCGTCAAGCCAGGCAAAGTGGAACTAAGGTTGCTATCGGACGTCTCATGACAATCATGAGTTGGAAGAATGCTGAATCAGCAGAAGAGAAGCGGCTCAAGGCCAGAATTGTATTTCTTGGTAACAATGTTCGTGACGAGTTTGGTTTAGCCAGCGAATTCCAAGAAATCAAGATCATTCCAACAACCATTGCTGGATTGAACATAAATCTGGCGTTCGGCCTGAAAAGAGGAAACAAAACATCTCAAAGCGATGTGATCAAAGCTTACATCCAGAGTGACCTTCAAACAGAAAATGACACGTACATCGAGTTGCCTGAAGAGTTGGTTCCTGACCATCTCAAATGGATGCACCGCCCATGCACCAAGCTCCACAAATCGTTGTACGGGCATCCGGAGTCGGGAGGACACTGGGGTTTGAAGTTTAAGTCAATAATGGGTTTGCTAGGCGGAGTTGAATCTCCATTGTTTCCATCAAACTTTGTCGTTGAGCGTTTAGGACTGCTGGTCACACTTTACGTAGATGACATAGTTGTTTCAGGCCCAAGCCAGAATCATCAGCAGTTTTGGGATGAACTGTCCAGCCATCTTCATTTCGAACCACCACAAGATGTCTCAAAAGTCCTAGGCAGGACTCACTTGATTAAGGAGGGAGAGGTCCAGCTAGACATGCACGAGTTTGCTGATGTCACGTGCAAACTATATGAGCAAGAATGCAAGGACTTCAAAGGCTTCAAGAAGGCTCCAACCCCTTATCTTGATGAAAGTTCGTTGCCGGTAGAAGATTGGGACAGCCAAGGTAACTTAGCCAACTCAGCGGCAAAGCTGATCATGAAAGCTTACTGGCTTGCAAGGCTTAGCCGGCCTGACTTGCTTCACGCGCTGAATGAGTTAAGTAAAAGAATAACGAAATGGAGTAAAAATGATGACAGACGTTTGTTCAGGGTATTCAGCTACCTTCATGGAACAAAACAATATAGGATGAGGTTGAAACTAGATCCAGATGCTGAATGGAACCTGTGGTTATTCACGGATGCTGACCATGCATCAAAGGCAGACCATGGTTACTCAACTTCAGGCTCAGTACTTGTGATCTCAGGTGGTTCGTCCTTTTTCCCTATTTCGTTCCAGTCGAAACGGCAGACAGCATGCAGTCGTTCAACGACAGAGGCCGAGGCCATAGCCCTGGCCACTGCTCTGTTTAGTGATGCGATCCCTGCGCAACAGTTTTTGTCAGAGTTGCTTGGAAGTGCAATTCCATTAACATGTCACCAAGATAATACTGCCACCATACAAGTAATAAAAAATGGATACTCTGCTTGCCTAAGACATTTAGGTAAAACCCACAAAATAAATGTCCAGGGGCTTTATGATGCGTTCAAAGAGCCGGATATCAGCATCCAACATTGCCCGACAGAGCAACAGGCTGCAGACGTATTCACGAAATGCTTGGAGGTCCACAAGTGGACGGCAGCCTTGGACATGATTGGAGTTTTTGATCCTTGCAAAGCAAAGAAATAGCATACCAATGCCCGAAATAGACCCATTTCCTTGTTGAGCCAGCCTTGATCAGTTCTTGTGTTGGAAGGCCATTTTGGCCACTCCTTGGTAGGGACCAAAGTTGCAAGAGGAATTGCATGTTGCAAACGGCAGAGAGCCGCGGTTCATTCCGCGCCCTGTCAGCCAAATGCCTTGTATTTCCAAAAATTAAGTTGGAATATGAGATCAGTTCTCACTAGTATGTTAGCACTGTCATCCATGCGTGGTGGGAGCAGCGGCCGCAGCACTCAAAGACGAACAGGCCAAACTTCCTAAAGCGCATGTCCTGTCCATATCCCACACTTGTCCTTGGTCAATGTATAGGTTCATTAGGAGCATATTTGTCCAAGCCAGGTCTCATGCAGCAAGAGCCCTTAGGTCACCAAGTCTTGCCACTGCAGTGTTTGGCCAGCATATGCCGTAGCTTGCAGGTGAACATTCTCGTAGGAGGGGGGTACAGAAGAATTCCAGCCACAAGGGTCGGTTTTCACCTCCTCGAATGTTACTAATTTTGGCTCAAGGAAAAGAGGCCCCAGAAGCTGACTTGTGTGGTTTTTGGGTGTTTTCTCAAGTTATCCTACTTTTCGCCTTTTATTGATATATATATATAATAATAATGATAATAATAATGATAATAATAATAACAATAATAATACTGATAATAATAATAATTATATATATATAATAATATATATATGGGATCAATTGGTATCATTTGTTTGTAATTGCACGTATGAAAAGCCAAGTGTTCCCGGCGAAGGAGACTCTGGAAGGTCGATCCAAGAAACTTACTTTTTTATGCACCCTCCAGCGAGGAGGAGAGCACGGGAAGATACGGGAAGGGAACCCGCAGGGACCGACATGGACCTGAAGGATGCAGAGGTTGCAGTGTTCTCCTTCACAACAATCCGCATGCGTTGAATAGACACCGCGCACAAGAAATCACAAGGAAGTAGCTGAATCATGCTGAATCTAAATCTTGCAAAGAATTGAAGGGGTGCTAGGATCTGGGAATGTGAAGTTCTCTTCCAGGAATTTCCTGTCTAGTGCATGATGCCCTTAAAAAAAGTGTATCACCATCAACACCTGTCAAAGAATCCACTGTGTAGACCTGCATGCAGGAAAACAGCATTCAAATTCTTTATCATTCATCATTCGCTCTTTTTGCAGAAAGCTTTGTTCATAGGATAAGCACGGAGACACTGGGAGTTCTGCCTTCACGCTTCGCAACAGTCATGCTGGCGTGCCAATCTGATTCATCCCAACGAATTCCTCAAGAGACACAGCAGACAGTTTTGCGTGTTTACATTTGGACAAGATGACAGGACTTTCTTGTGACCCTTCTGTCGAGGAGATGGATTCAGACGTGCAAACCATGGTGCCCATTGCCAAAATTGCTTGGAACCCAAGCGCCCTGTGTGGTTTTGTGTGGGTTGTTCACATTGTTGACAAGTTAATTTGCCTGCCTTTTACGAAATTCACACGAAAGCATCAAAAGAGTTGCATTAAGAATATTCTATGATTCTATGCCCTCATTCAACCCATACATATTAAACGAGTTACGCACATAATTTCATCCCCTAAATGGGTCTTTTTTGTTTAGAATCAAAGAAACTGGTTGTGGCAGTGTGGAGTGTCTCGGGCAAAAAGATCACTGTCGTATTACACACACCTTTTTGGCATGCTGGCATGCCTGCGTACCAGATCAATTTAAGATAATCTAAGTCTCATCGCGGGAATTCTTGTCTGGGCAACTACTGTAAGAAACAATTTTCATCAATTTTCTAAATATCCTTAAGTCATTGGGCAACATTTTGTTGTGACCGCAAGAAAGACAGACCTGGATGCTCCTTCATTTCATGTTCAGTATCTGACAGATCTGAAGCAACATACGGATCGGAAAAAGGACTCCAAAAGTAGGAAGAGCTAGCAAAGCCCAGCAAAGCATAGCAAGGCTATGCATGGCTACGCAATTTTCGGATGAAACCCTGGGATCAAGATTCTACCCAACTTCATACCTTGCGGCCAGGAAGAAGACCATCAGTCATTGCAGGCCTACATCGATTATATGAACGGCAGGCCCCAGGGAAAAGCGGTGACCAGTATTCTGAAATATGCTGGAAGATTCTCTATATTCTGGATATGTTTTGGTTTGGAGAATTGGAGATGGTGTTGACATTGAGCTGACAATTGCGCTGCAGTCTTATGATTACATATATAATATTCACGTTGAACAAATATACATTATTATACATTTACAATAGCCACATGCAATAGTCAATGATAGGCATTGTGTATTTGCATGTAATTACTGTATTTGCCCAGGCAGGTTGCAAAAAGAGTTGGCCGTCGTAAAACTCAGAGTCATGTACGAAATGCACTATACCTCGATACTATACTACATTATACTACAAATCTATACAAATCTGCTTTACTGGGCCGTCAGGCCTTTGGATCCCTATGCTGACTGGGATTTGGAAGACCTTGGCTACGGTGCTTGGGATTCGTGGGGGGTCAATGTTTTGCGGTTCTAGACACGGTAATTCAGAGATCATTCGTCGATCATGCAAATATGGTTAGCTGGTCCTCCAGTGTACAAAGCTAAAAGGAAGATTTGCTGAGTCAACATCCAGCTGACAGCTGTGTTAAGCAAATCAAGGCAAATTTATTTCATTATTTTCATTCCATTTCCACCCGAGCCCCACTTACCAAGATCTGTGGAGGTGATGACTTCGATGAAGAGGAATGGATCAGACAGTGGCAGGAGCAGCGCTACGAGGAGAAACCAGACAAAGGAAAACATATTTTGATAATTTTTGATACAGTATCTCAGTATATTTTATTTTGATGAAAAGACATGAAAGAAAACAACACTTTGTGCTGAGGTTGCTGATTAATATGGCCGTATTCTGCAGTAAAGCAAGCACAGTGCCGAATGCAGAGAGCTGGTTGCATTTTGCCCTGACGGGAGGAGTACTATGGCCGCCTTAGATCAGAAGGCGGCTGATCGCGAGAGCAGAAGCAGCATGCCAACACATTATGCGGTGTCAGTAAGTATTTGGTCCAAGAACTTCTAGTTGGTGGTGACTGAACCAGCACCTCTTTCAATTTTGGTCTAGCGTGTCCTTACAACGAGTCTGCGGGTGTCAGTGCCAAGTGGCTGATGGAATTTCCTAGACCCAGATGTTTGTTTCTCCTCGATTGGCATGATGCATTGTGATATTTTGATGATACGTTGAATGCGTTGACCATTGCGCGGTTATACCGCAGAACTATGTATAACTTACTGTACAACATCTCTAAACACCATCAAAATGTATTGAAAACATTTCAAAACACTATTCGGCCAGGCTGAGCCTCCAGCTGTGAGACGGTTGGCTCGGTGCAAAAAATCTGCCAAAGCATCTCCTGACTCCTGACATGGAAACTGCGATAAACCTACATGTTCATTGTGTCATATTGTGTCTCTCTCTCTCTCTCTCTACATATTTATATGTGTATATATATATACACAATGATACTACTATATACATATATGTACATATTTACCCTGTATACATGTGCAAACACACAAAGGTAAAGAAGCATGCTGTACTCAAAAACGTAGGGACACAAGCGACTTAGGAGATACTTGTGGTTGTCTCAGAAGCCCATGAATGACTGGCTGTATTGGTGCCAAGACTTGCCAATGTTTACTGCCTTATCTTGTCAGCTTAAGTGACAATATGCCACCGAAGCACGAAGGGCCAAACACATTAAACACAGTGTCGATGAATGGAATAATTTTTGAACATACAGGCAGTTGTTCCGTTTAGCCGCTTTGGCTTAATCCAGCAAGGCAAAAGTAGTGCGACACTGTAAGGAGACCATGGGAGAATAAAATAAAAAAAGATGATTATATTTCAACATGAATTGATGGTTAGTATGGTTATGAATGATGCTGATAGGCTTATATAGTCTATCTTGGTATGGTTTCAGGCTGCAGTCTTTGGTCTTTTGGGCCCTGTTTCGCACGTTAGCTAGATTGGTTTTGAAAGTTGGGATTGCGCTGTTGCAAAACAAGACCCTCCAGAGCAACTCACCAGTTCAAAAAAACATCCACAGATATACCGTAGAAATTCTCACATGCGCAGGGGAAAAAGAATCTGATATGTAGAAGAAATCTGACGCTTGAAGACAAGAATAGCTTGCAGAGAGCATGGCAGATTGTTTGCTATGAGATGCCATGAGAATCATTAAGAATCATTAAGAATCATTAAGAATCATTACGAATCGCGAAGTCTCGCCTGTGGGCCCTGCGGACCCTGTGGGGCCTGTGGGCTTTGAGCCGGAGACCATGTCAGCTGGACGCCCTGGTGCCCTGAGTGTCACCAGTCGGGCCACGAGCCGTGAGAGCGGTGCTATCGAGATGTCGGTGCGGACTCCCGGCCGTCCGTATCCGTCCGTTCAGGGCAATTGCCATGCGATTTCAAGACCATTACCATGGCCATACTACCACTAGGCTTAAGTCGTATCAATCGACCTGAAGTCGTATCACACCTGCGTGCGCACAGTGTTTCGTATAGATTTTGATAGTTATTTATTTGATGGGTTATTGATTCGAACACTTTTTCATCGCCGTGCGCAATGTTTTGTTGACATGATTCTATTTGACCATACTAGCCCTAGCGTTAAGTCGTATCAGCTCGTAGAAGTTGTATCGGGAGGCCGTGCGCCTGGAAAAAGTTCAAGTTTTGGCATCACCACAACTTTTAGTAATTGGACGATTTCATTGTTTTGGGGCCGTGCGCCTAGAAAAAGTTCAATTTTTGTATTGCGTTGATTTATAAAACTTATATTATATTTCATTATTCTTTCAACGGGGCAAACGCTGGTTGCTGCTTTCTGCTTGCTTTCTGCTTGCTTTCTGCTTGCTTTCTGCTTGCTTTCTGCTTGCTTGCTGCTTGCTTGCTGCTCCTTGCTGCTGCTGCTGCTGCTGCTGTTGCTGCTGCTGTTGCTGCTGCTGTTGCTGCTGCTGTTGCTGCTGCTGTTGCTGCTGCCTCCTGCTGCTGTTGCTGCTGCCTCCTGCTGCTGCTGCGGCTGCGGCTTCCTTCTGCTGCTGCCTCCTGCTGCTGCCTCCTGCTGCTGCCTCCTGCTGCTGCCTCCTGCTGCTGCCTCCTGCTGCTGCCTGCTGCTGCTGCTGCTGCTGCTTCCGCCTGCTTGCTGCTGCTTCCTCCTGCTGCTGCTGCTGCTGCCTCCTGCTGCTGCTGCTGCTGCTGCCTCCTGCTGCTGCTGCTGCTTCCTCCTCCTGCTGCTGCTTCCTCCTCCTCCTCCTGCTGCTGCTGCTGCTTCCTCCTGCTGCTGCTGCCGCTGGTGCAAACATTTTGCCGAAAAAGAAAATTACAGTCTCGGTCGCCTTGTTTGGAGATACGGGCGGGAGACGCCAGCAGAGAGAGGGAATGTTTACAGAAGGCAGAACTTATGAAACATTCAAGCGGAAGCGGATGTTGACAGCGGTGTGCCACTGGGTTTTCAGATTTTAACGTTGTTGATGTGATGATGTTGCCCATAGCTATTACATGGAAATCTATGTTTGTTAGGAAACAAAGTTAAAGATCTGGGAGGCCGTGTGCCATGGTGATTCCTAAATATATCCTTTGAAAACATAGTTTAAACATATGTGAATACCTCAGTGTGCGCAATGTTTTCTTCATTTTTGGAGATATAACAACATTCCTTGAAAGCCGGTGTGCCATTGGGATTTTGATATTTTGATGTGACTTTTGCCCAGTTGATGTGACTTTCTTCCAACTCGCTGTTGCATGGGGTTGATGTGACTTCTGCCCAACTGATGTGACTTAAACCCTTCGCTAGTAGAAGTAACACCTGCAGAATCTTCTGGATAGTTCCACAATGCCCTGCATTATATTATTTTTGCGACTGTAGCTGTGTTTTGTGCTTCTGAGAAGCGTCTGAATCTGCAGCTTCTGGCACAAAACCAAACAGCCGGTAATCCTACGTGACATACTACAAGACTACAAGACAAGATTGTAGAAGAGTGAATGATGTGAATGAATAGTGTAGATTTGTGTTGGCCAAGCCAGGGTCATTTCTCGTGGCTCCAAGCCCTCTAAGGTCTCTGGCACAGAGTCCAGAAATTCACGGGACCGACCTTACTGAAGTTGTGCTGTGAGAGTTGGAGTAGTTCATTGCATTTCGGCCTCACCACATCTCATGAAATTGTTATGATGTTTTACCATGTTTTACCTAAGTTGTTGTCTTTGCAAGTCCTGACCGTTTGTCTATTGCTATATATGTCATGCCTTCGCTGAAGATTCTGAAGTTTTCTGATACATACAGTATCATACAGTAAGTCTTTTGAGACATTGGTGTGTTCTCATGACACACACATAACAGTGCGTGTGTTTCTGGCTTGGATGTCAATGACACGCTAAAGCAAAGCACATGTCAGCATAGCGTTATATGGTGTTCATAGATTCCTTAGATGTTCATAGTCCATACATTCCATACATTCCATACGTTTCATATTCATCCGTATTCCCTGTTAGGAAGAGAGATGGGGATCCTTGGAATCTGCCATGCTCGCAGCTCCTTAGCTGAGCATGCCAAGCGAACAGGTTTGATAAATTCCAGAGGAGTTTGGGATACAAAAATGGCAAATTCTTTGGCAAGTCCTAGGAACATTTTCTGAAATGGCGCTTGCGCAACGACCAGTTGTGTGGCGGAGGAAATCACAATGGATCAATGGCACATATTTGCAAATCAAGAATCATCAACAATCATCAACATTCACATTCGAATCATTCATGATCCCAGCCGCTTGTTTTTGTTTGGCGTCTCCCAGTCGCCTTTTGCGCCCAAGGTGAGGACCTTGGCCCAAGACTTTGAAGAGCTCCCTCAAGGCCTCACTAGTCGGCCCCATGTGTGGCACCATCGCTAGCCCCTGCAATTCCCAGAATCTTAAGGATCTCAAGGCGGAGTTGACACTGGTTTGACCAAACTGTCATTAAACAAGATGGAAGCCACGAACCCGAATGTATTCACGTTTATTCACGTTTTTGGACTACAAGTGAAAACCTCTGCAATATATTTCGGACTGGTGACTTAGGACTTAGGCCACCATAGTGACATAGGAATTTGTGCACCAAGTCCTAAGTCACTGGTGTTCTTACCAGGTGATTTGTGTGTACCAAGTCCTAAGTCACTGGGGTTGTGATTGGATTCAAGCACTTTTTAAGTTTTAAAAAAAAATCTTCTCTGAATAAGTCATCAGAATCTACATACTTACAGAACATTACAGTACAGTACATTACATCACTACAATACAGTAAAGTACAGTACATTACACTACAGTACATTACATTACATTACAGCACATTACAGTACATTATATTACATACATGCACAGGACTTGGTGCACAAAATCGTATGTCACTAGAGGGGCACAAGTCCTAAGTCACCAAAACCTACATACTTACAGAACATTACAGTACAGTACAGTACAGTACAGTACATTACACTACAGTACATTACATTACCTTACAGTAAAGTACAGTACATTACATCACACTACAGTACATTACATTACAGTAAAGTGCAGTACATTACATTACACTACAGTACATTACATTACATTACAGTACAGTACATTACAGTACATACATGCATAGGGTTTGGTGCACAAAAATCGTATGTCACCAGAGGGGCACAAGTCCTAAGTCATCAGAACCTACATACTTACAGTACATTACAGTACAGTACAGTACATTACACTACAGTACATTACATTACATTGCAGTAAAGTGCAGTACATTACATTACACTACAGTACATTACATTACAGTACAGTACATTACAGTACATACATGCAAAGGACTTGGAAATCGTCTGTCACCAGAGGGGCACAAGTCCTAAGTCATCAGAACGTACATACATATATTACATTACATTGCAATACAATACATTACATCCCAATACATTTTTCATTTTTTTCAATTTATTTAATTGCTTTAAAATACTGTCTGTATATAAATCGAAGGAAAAAATGGAAAATCACAGATTTTTGTGAAATATTTTTTTTTGAAGATGGGCACAAGTCCTAAGTCATCATTTTTTCAACGATTGGCTCGAGGACTTCGACCCAAAAACGGGGTAGCGCAATGGGAACCACAATAGGGAAACACAACGGGAAGTGGTCCCCGTTGCGCTACCCCGTCGTTGGGTCGAAGTCCTCGAGCCAATCGTTGAAAAAATGATGACTTAGGACTTGTGCCCATCTTCAAAAAAACATATTTCAAAAAAAATCTGTGATTTTCCATTTTTTTCCTTCGATTTATATATAGACAGTATTTTAAAGCAATTAAAAAAATTGAAAAAAATGAAAAAT